CCCCGGCCCCGCCCCCGCGCGCACCCCGGGTCCCGGGCGCCCCGCGCGGCCCCGGGGTCATCGCGTCGCCCGGCTGGACGCGCGGCGACAAGCTTGTCGCTTTACGGCAGCCGAGCCGGGCGGGGCAGAGCCCAGGCCGAGGGAGGCAGAGAGGACTCGTATCTGCGGTTTACTCGCTTCACATATTAGTCCGCGTTTCTAACGCACGTAAATGGCACAATGGCCGCCCGCCCGGGCCGCCCGCCCCGCGCGCCCCGCCGGAAGTTGACGGCGTCGCTTAGCAACGGGGCATGGCGGAGCCGGGCGGCGGCGCTGGCGGGTAAGCCCGGCGGAGGGACCCCGGGTCCCGGCGCAGCCCCCGCGCCGCCCCTTCCCGCAGCACCCCCGGCGCCCCTTCCCCTCCCGCCCCCACGCGGGGCCTTGCCCGCCTCGCCGGCCACCCCGCCACCATGCGCGGGGACCCCGTCTCGCTTCTCGCCGCCCATCCCTTTGTCCGCTCCCACCCCCTCCCTCTCTCCCCGCGCTCCACTCCCCAAAACCCCGGGCCCAGGCGCCCCGCGACCCGCGGTAACCATGACAACCACTACGCTCGGCAGCCCCCGCTGCGGAGGGTCTGCTGGGCGCTGGCGCCGGAAGCGAGAGACCAGCGCAGCCCCACCTCCCTCTTGGAAAAGGGGATCCCGCCCCCTCCCCAGGCTTGGGGGTCCCTGAGGTCGGGCAGGCCCCTCGAGTGTCGTGAGCGCACAGCCGGTAGTCTGCCCTCTTACGCTTCGTTTAAAAGCATAGAAACGATTTTAAAGAATTTGCCCTTTACCTTAGCCAGGTCTGTGTTGTTTTTCTTTTTTAAAGGTAGGTATATGTGTACGGACATGGAAAGAAGTCCAGGTTAAATTAAGTGAAAAGACTGGATGCCAAAGAGTGATCTCTACTTTGGGGGTGGGGGGTTTAAATGCATAGAAAAATCTTTGAAAGAATATACCCTTAAACCTCTTACTATTACTACTGGTTGGTTATCTTGAGAAGGAGAGGAAACGTCACAGGGGTTTTTTATTGTCTGTCACGTATTTCTGTTTTAATTTGACTTTTTATTAAAAAAATAATAATGAGCTTGTAATTTTAATTAGAGAAAAACCGAAAGAATTTTCAGAGTGTAAGTCAGGACATTCTTGTACTGTCCAACCAAGAGTTTACAGAATATTTGTCCACTTTGTGCAATTTCCTCTTACTTTGTATTTTCCCCAGTTGTGTCACAGACACAAGTATATGTAGGGTGACTTTTCTGGCGTCATCTATTTGTGCCGTTCCTTTCATGTTTCGATAATTGTATTTTTCATTCATTCATTCATGGAGCAACTCTTTTGTGGCACTCCCACCACGTGACAGGCATGTTTAGTTCTGCGGTTAGTGACAAACATGACAAAGTCATGGACAATAGCCTGGAGGTGAGGCAGTATTACCCAGTAAATAAATAGATGTGTACTCCCGGACATCCAGGCAGTAATAAAGGCCAGGGAAAAGGATGCTATTATGTGAAACTATCACACTGTTTCTCTACAACCAGGTCTCACCCGGAAGGAGACTGGACTTCTGACGGAGAGGAGGACCAGAATAAGGAAAGCGACCAGGTCAAGTTCCCTGGAGGATGAGGTGTTCTGGGCTTGTGTTTACTAGGAATTAAGGGGAGTTAGGATTTGCTTAAGAAAAGTGTGCCTTGCACGAGAGCAGGCTCGGTTCAGTTGCGAGCACCTCAGTGTAGCTCCACCCCAAAGTGTTGGCGGCCAGTCAGGAATGCCACGGGCATCCTACTCTTAGATTACCCCACATTGTTCAGGATTCATTTCCTGAAATGAAGGACACAAACTAATTACAAAAAATGGAGCAAGTGCAGGTAAGTTAAAGCACGCAACATAATCTCTTAGCAACCTCAAGAGTGTGTGGATACAGTTTTCCCATCAGTGTAGTTCCACTATGGAGAATAAAACCTCATAATCCTTTATACATTGTTTCCTGATTTTTTTTTTCCTGCCACTCGGCCGCAGGTGTCAACAACAGAGAAGAGCAGTGACCAGAAAAATGAAGGAGCTGTTGATGCTACAGAGCATTCTGAGAGGGAGGTCACAACCGGTGGGGAAGCAGGAAACAATGGGGAAACCGGAAACAAAGAGGAAGTTGGAAATAACGAGGAAGGTGGAAATGATGAGGAAACCGGAAATGATGAGGAAGTTGGAAATGACGAGGAAGGTGGAAATGATGAGGAAGGTGGAAACGATGAGGAAGATGGAAACGATGAGGAAACTGGAAATGAGGAAATAGAAACGGAAGAGGAATTGGACTTTGAAGAAGAATTGGAATCTGATATGGAAACCATGTCCTCTGAAGGGAAAGTCAGTTCTACAGATCTGACTTCTTCAGACAGCAATCCTAAGGAGGTGCTTGGAGAGGAAGACGGCCCCGCACACCCATATGAAAGAGCTAGTCTTCAGGACAGGGAGTCCCTCCGTCCAACAGAATCCAGAGATGTGGAGGTCATCCCCACAGAGCCACCCGGGCAGGTCTTAGGCTCATCCAAGCACATGGACCAGGATGCTTCCCGAGGCAGGGTAAGTAGCCCCGAGGTCTGTTACTGTCTGTGTGGTGCGTCTCCCTATGTGAGGAACCCAGTACACTGTAAATACCAATTGCAATTCCTGTTAGAAATTCCTTAGCAAACTGAGGTCCTGGAATGCCAAGGGTTTCTGGACCCTCCTTCGGTGTTTACAAACCCATGGTTGGGGGACAGTCCATGTACAGGCATTCGGGTTTCCAGTCTCGAGAGCAGCGCCGTCCAGGGTAACTTCCAATGATGATGGAAATGTTCTTTACCTGCACATCCAATATGGCTGCTGTTAGTCCCGTGGCTACAGAGCACTTGAAACGAGGCCAGGGAGACAGAGGAGCTGCTGTGATGACCCCCCATGAAGAGAGCCTCTGGAGCCCGCCCTCCACACCCTGTTCAGACCCCTCGCGCCACAGGAGACCAGCCTCACCTGTTGGCTTGAGGTGTGAATTGTTCTGGAATGGAAGCGAGGGCCAGTGTTGGCGGAAAGAGAACATATTGCATTTCTGTCATTGACTCTGGGAGGGACACTGCTATGCCCCTGACAGGTGTTGTCTCAGCGAACCCTGACAATAACCCTGTGAGGTGGGGGCTATTATCCCCATTGTACAGATGAGGAAACGGGCGGAGGGACTGCCTTGCCCAGGGTCACACAGCTGTCATGGCAGACAGTTGCTCCTGCACACAAGCCACATCCTGAAACACGAAGCAATGACATGTCCCCGCCCTGTGAAACCAAAAAGAGTTCATCACTTTGGAGAATAACATGATTTGATCTTTGATGAGCCCTCATTAAGCTTGATGATTACAAATGACACACACGTGATAAGACCACTTTGCAGAATTTAACAACAACGCGAACAGTGTCTTCGCCTTCTAAGATAACAAGGAGATCTGAAGCGTTGGTTACCTGTGCAGCTGTAAACCCAATTTCCATCCTTGGGTCTAGTTTCTAGAAAATTCCCTGGGAAAAAGCATCTACATTTGGTTAACCAGAAGCGCAGAGACAAACCCTAAGACAGAGCCCCATTTCCTTCCCCCTGGCTGGTGCCCGGTCTTCAGAGGAAGTAGGAATTGTCGAGTGGGAGCTGCTATGCCCAGCAGGGTAGATGGATGCCTGACTTTCTGGACACCCCAGAGGTGGGCATTTGACTCTGGGTCCCCACTGATGTTATTAAGGCTCTGGTTGCCTCAGATGTCATTTGAGTCAATACCATCTGAGGAAGTACAGTTAGAAAGAGCATTAGCTGGGGATAGAGACAGCCCAGCTTTGAACCTTCCCTTGCCTAGCTGTTCGAACTTCACACAAGGTCTTTACTTCTGTGAGGCCACTTCCCCTACAGGTAAGAGAGGTGACTAATGTCCCCCTCCCAGGGTTGTTGGGTGGGGCCATTTGTTGTCACTAATATTCAACAGTTTATCATCAGTAATAATTATTGTCGGGCCGGCCGAGTGGCACGTTAGTTGAGAGCTGACTTGGGACGCCAGAGGGCCCCGGTTCGGATCCCATACGTGAGGGCCAGTGACACTGCCCTCTACAGCTGGGATGCTGAACAACAGCTCAACCTGGAGCTGGGCTGCCGTGAGTCGCCGACGACGGCGTAGGCTGCAGCCCCTGCTGCAGTGGGTTGCCATGGGCTACCGTGTGTAGCCAGCAGCCAGCGTGAGCGGCCAGCAGCCGCAGTGAGCAGCCGTCCAGAAGCCGGCGACTGATCTGCCTCACCCGGGAAGAGCGCAATGATGGTGCCAACTTGGGCCAGTGAAGCAACGTCCTCCACAACTAGACTGAAGAACAAAAGAACAGCAACTTGTCTGTTCCCTTTCCCCCAATTCCCCAGCACTGTTCCCATCCCCCCAATTCCCCAATAAAAATCTTTAAAAAAACCCAAAACTGAAATGGATCCACGTGTTTTTATTGAGGGAAAATATTTTCTGATCCAAACGTCCCTAAACTGGAATGGTTTGAAACAAAAGAAGAAACAGCCCTCTTGGGAGACCACTGCCCAGGGCTGAGACTTTCTGGTATGCTTTTGTAAAGAGGATACTCAAAGTGGTCACTTACCATCCTCTCGGAGATCAGCATTTGCAGGGAAGGAAGCCACACCCAACACACGTGTGTTCCTCAGCGTTTACACATCGCTACAGGTCCAGAGAGGCAGAGGCCACTCCTGGATTCCTTGTTGGGGTCGGGGGTAGGCGATTTCCATTTTGACTATTTGCAGAAGCCAAATGATATCCAAACAAGTTTCTATTCCTCTAACAATCATGTTGCATTGTGAGTGCTGTAATGAATCAAATCTAATAATTTCTATTACGCCCTCACTGATTCAGGCTTGGCTCTTCTCTAGAAAACACCCCCTGAAGAGCTCCAGCAGGCGGCTTCTCTGAGGGCACACCACCGCCTCCAACTGAGTCCCGGGGACAGCAGGACGTCCTTTGTTGCGCTGCTCCCGAGCACGGAGGAGCCCTTCGCACAGGAGCCAGGTACCATGGCGCCCAGCCACGGGATAAGCCACTTCATAGCCCCTTTGTGCCAGGGATGCCCCACCTGTCACCTCATTTCCTGCTTGGCTAAGAGCTGAAAGGTAAAAATATTATTGACAGGTATGGATACCATTTATGGAGCATTGATTCTGTCTTATCTCAATCCCTACACTAATCCACGAGGTAGGAACTGTTCTCTGTTGTGCAAAGACCGTAAAACCAAGTAACGTATCCGAGTAAGTGGCAGAGCCGGGCCCTGACCGCCATTTCTCACGGCGTCCCGGCCTCGGAGAGGGGCTCAGTGACAGCACCCCTGAACGTGTGTCTGTCTGCGTCCGTCTGCTGAGTTTCAGAGGCTTTCCCGGCCCGGCCCTGTCTTTCCACTGTGTGTCCTGGTGCCGTGTGCTTGGGAAGCAGAGCAGGCTTCTTCTCGCTGCACGTGACACAGGTGCCTGATGCCGTCAGCACTCCTACTGGCATGAAGGCAGCACACGCCTACGCGTGTTTGACACAGAGCAGGACCTCTCCAGCTCAGGCGGACAGAAGAGCTAACACTAGACCCTCACTGATATTTCATTGCCTTCCAATCTTACCAGCTGTTTCCCATTTAAAAAAATCAATCTAGGCCGGCGGACTGGCTCAGTGGGTTAAGAGCTCGCTCAAGAGTGTGAGCTCTGAGCAACAGGGTTGCCGGTTCGATGCCCGGCCCGAGCTGAGCTGCCGCTGAGCTGCCAACAGGTGGCAGGATGGCTCAGCTAAAAAAAAACAAAAAACAAAAAATCTATCTAGTCTATCAGTAAGAAGCCACCTTTCTAGTCGCTCCTTATGTATAAAAAAAGATTGTCTGCCTTTAAAATGTGATGACCTTTTCACGGAACATGTAGAATCGATGACAAGAAGATTCATGGGTAGAAGACACTAAGTAGCACTTCTGAACCCCAACACAGGCGGGAGCTTTCTTTTCCTCTTTTCCATCGTGGGGCATGAGGGTGGGAGTCAGCTTTGCTGGCAGCTCTACTAACGCCTCGCTGACGTTTGCTGCCCCCAGAGCAGCCCGACGCCCGCCCCCGGGAAGGGTCCCTGCTCTCCTTCCTGGACAGGATCCAACAGCTCAGCACCACGGAGGAAAGCGTCGCAGAGAGAGTGGACTCCGAGGGGAGTGACGAGGCGGAAGACGACGAGTCCCAGCTGGTGGTCTTGGACCCAGGCCACGTAAAGAAATACTCCTCAGCCTGTTTCTGCCCCACACAGACGAAGAATGACCCAGAGACGTCCTTTCCCCTGCCATTTCGGCCCTTCTCTGCCCTCCGCCTCCCCAGCCCACTCCCCACCCCCAAATGCCGTGCTTGCATCTCACCTGGTCACTGACAGTTATTCTGCTTGGGTTTGGCCTGCTGCTTTGTAAAGCAGAGTCTCTTTTTAGGCTCATATGCCCAAAGTTAGCATTTCTTAACCTTGGCACCGCTGCCATTTGGGACAGGGCCATTCTTTGTGGTGGGGGCATCTTAGGCATGATAGAATGTTTGGCAGCATCATTGGCCTCTAGATGCCAGTAGCACACCCTCCCTTACTTGTGACAGCCAGAATGTCTCCAGACATTGCTGGGTGTCGGGTGGGGGCAAAACCACCCCTGTTGAGAGCCACTGCCTCAGGGGACCAAACAACTCATGAGGTCCTTTGTCCCAGCCCTCTGGCAAGCCTTGATGGAATGAACCCACTTGGAAAGCCCTGTGCTCCCCGTCCTGTGGGAAGATGGGGGTGGTGCTGGGAAAGGGGCTGGGTGATCTTTTGGTGGCAGCACCCGCTCTGGCCCCTGGAGTAAAACCAGGACCACTGCCCCAGCTTGCCCTGCCGTTTGCCCAAGTACACAGGTCCTCAACGCCCAGGATGAGACCTCTAGCGCCTGTATAATAGTTTGTAGCTTTCAGAGTAAGAACCCCGGGCGGAAGAGGAGAGGGGGGCACCCAGCGTGGAAGTCATTTCTGTCAGTCTCCCTCACCCCCCAGAGCTGTCGCGACTTAGGCCAAGTCTGGGATGGGACAGGAGACTAACTGGCGTGCTCTGCCGTTGTTTCAGCCCCTGATGCTCAGGTTCCAGGCCGCCCTGAAGAACTATCTCAACCGACAGATAGACAAGCTGACGCTGGACCTTCGGGAGCTGGTGCGTACCATCCAGCCTTCCCGCCGGCGTGTCCCCTCGTGCCGCTGACCAGCTTCTCTCTCTGCTGCAGGAGGTGTCCACCAAGCAAGTCCGAGTCCAGCGGCAGGAGCTGGGGGTGGGTCTCTACGGGGTCCAGCAGCACCTGGTCCGCCTGCAGATGCAGCTGGAGAAGAACCAGGACTGCCATTCAATCATCGCGTGCGCGCGGCGGCAGAAGGAGCAGGAACTGCAGGGCGTGCGCTGCCTCTACACCAGGACCTGCGAGGCTGCCCACGAGGAGCGCAAGAAACGTAAGCGGCTCGGGCCCCTACATGCTTCTGCGCCAGCGCAGGGTGGCGAGAGGAGCTAGACGTGCGCGGCCGCAGAGGTTCCCAGCCTCTTTAGGGAGGGGAGGCGTACGTGTCCGAAAAGGCACCCCCTTAGGTAAGCCGCGAATGCCCAAGGGCCCACAGTCGGGGTGCACGGAGCCAAAAACATAAGAGGCTGGTGGGCTGCAGCGGTTCCGAGGAGGACGTGTCCCACGGTGCGTGAGGAGCGGGAATGAGCCGGGTGTAAACGGGTGGGAACAGCCTGAGGTGCAAGGGCTTGCACAAGCGGGGACCGATGGCTGGGAGTCGGTGGCTGATTTAGGAGAAACCCACGGGCTTTGGACCAGAGGAGACAGTAGGGCTGTGGCTCCTACACGTACTGTTACTACTAAAGTGACCTTCTCCACAGAGGTGGGTGAAGGGGGTGGGGTGTGTAGGTCACAGTGAGCCATGGCTTCCTTAAGCCTCTGTGGATTATTTTAGTCTTGGCGCTTTTTTGATGGTTCCCACTCTCTTTATCAACTCCGTGTTGCTATTATAACGGGGGATATAACCTAAAAGAATACAGAGGAAAACCGAATCCCTCGTATGTCCCAGCCGTGGGCGGAGAAAAGAGTTTGGACCCTGAGAACTGCAGGATTGAAGGAGTCTGGGCAAATGCTCAGTTATCAAGCACCCTCCCTGGTTGCACCAAATTAACAAGAAAGCACCGAAAAGAGAAGAATGCAACATTCACGCTAAATATAAAGAGCCGCGTCGCCCAGATGTACTAGAATTTAGACCCATCTGAAAGAGGGCACAGGCCCCTCTCCCAGCTCCCAGCCTGCACCCCTCTACACTTGGACAGTGCGCGGGCACCAGTGCCCCTCAGCGGAGGCTCAGGGTGTGGACGGGCTTCTGGAAAGTCCTTTGTGGAGGTTGCCAGGAACAGGAAGAGGAGCAAGCAATGGTTCCACCCAGCAGCACCATTTCTCACTTCCCAGCACTAGCATTTGGTGAGGGTCCCGCCCTGCCCACTGGTGCTACCACTACTCTGTCCCTTTGGTGCAACATGGGGCTTTGCCACTAGAGAACGTCCACAGTTGCCCACCTCACCTGGGAGGGAGGTGAAGCCCACCAGACACTAAACCTTCAAGTTGACGTGTGAGTCATCGGCAGCAGTCCCCAGGCACGAGAGAAGATAGGCTGGTCAGACGGAGCAGACCCTCCACAGACAAACCAGGTTTGGAAAACATGACAGCCTGGAGTGTGTGCCAGCTGCTGTTCTGCGTGGGGCCTTAGAGAGCAGCTCACCGGTCAAATCACAGCAAAGTGCTGGAGAAAAGGACACTGGGGATTTAAAAATAACCATCACTGGAGAAAAAGACACTACATATTCAAATCAATATTGCAGAACACGGAACTTGTAAACTAAAAGGCCAGTTTGAGGAATTCTCCCCAGAATTCAGAGCACACACCCCAAGCGACAGACCTTTTGAGAAAGAGATAAAAGACATGGTTTGCAGATCTGGGAAGGTCAATATCCATAAGATAGAAATTCCAGGGGATTAGAGGCATTAACCAATGACATCAGAGGAAAACGTTCACATAAATTCAAGAAAGACACATCTTCAGATGTAAAGACTCATGGGGGGGCCAAGCAGGTGGGAGAAAAAAACAAACATGCCTAGACATAGCTGGTGACATTTTTAAATTCCAAAGGTAAAGAGGAGAAAAAAATGCTATAGGCTTATAGGCAGGACAAAACCAGACACTTCCTATGTTATTCCGCCCTCCGAGGGGTGTAAAATTTTGGAAATACTTCCCAGGCTTATTTCGCCAAGCTTAATGTAATCCTTACTGCCAAAGCTGGCAATGTACAAAACCAGAAAAGCATAAAGCGGTTTCACTTATGAGGTACAAAAATCCTAAGTAAAATATTAGCAAACATTAAACATTTGTTCAGCGACAAAAGATTAAGTTCAGCAATGTAGTAACAGAAAAATACCCCTTGGTCAAGAACGGCTTCTTCCTTCTGGAAGAATTTGAAATTAGGAAACCTGCGAATTCAATTCCTTATATTCATCAGTTGAAGGAGAGGGAAAAAAATATTTCCTGGATGGATGCCACTTGGTGTTTGATAAAACTCAGTGCCCATCCTAAACTGGGATAGAGGGAAAGTCCTGTGTAAATATTTACCAGGAACTAACAAGGAAGCTTAACTCAGTGGAAAGCACTGGAGAAATTACAGTAAAAACCAGCAGAGGTGAAGATGCCTGCCAGCAGCTCCGCTGCCCTCGTCTTGGAGGTCCCAGCAACACGAGAGGCAGGAAATGAATGCAGTGTGAGAAATGTAATGATGGAATTCTCATTCTCTACCAAGGACATGGTCGCTCACCTAGAAGATTCAAGATCACTGATGAAAAAGAACTAATGGAAACAGTAAGAAATCAGCACAGTAGCTGAATACCTGGTTTGCATGCGTTCAGTAAAGACACATCTTCAGCTGCAATGACGCCTGGGGGGGCCGCAAAGGTGGGAGAAAAAAAACAAGCATCGTTTTCTTCCATACCGGTGATATCCAATTAGGAATGGCAGTTTTGTAAAAACCTCATCCAGAATAGATATAACATGCACAAAATAGTTGGGAAGAAACCGAACAGGAACCGAGTGAGTCTATCTGAAGAAAAACAATACAATTTTACTAAAGAACATAAAACAGCAAATTGAGCAACCACATTACCGGACAGTAGATGCACAATATATACAAAAATGTCATTTCTCTCTGAATTAATAAGTAGTTCAGTGCAGCTCCAGTTAAAATCCACAATGGGATGTTTTGGGCGAACTTAAATTTATTTAACATAGTAATTTACTTATTTTCAGGAAATAATAATTCAAAACGGAAGCGCTCTAGAGTCAAAAGTCTCCTGAACTCCCCTCTCCAATCCCCAAGTCGTCGTCCCCCTACCCCACACCCCGGGAACCCAGTATTATTGGTTCTTGTGTATATTTTTAAAGACATTTTTGCACATAAAAGCCAAGTTACAAGGGCGCATGTATACTTTCCCTCTATTTTTTTTTGTACAAGTAGCTGCATCTTATACCCGCTGTTCTGTTCTTTGCCTTTTTTTTTATTTGTCAGTGTGTGCTGGAGTTATTCCATAGCCACACAGAAAAAGCTCTCCGTTCTTGACAAACTGACTTTAAAGTCCACTTGGAAGACTAAATGCACCAGAATATCTAAGAAAATTTGGGGAAAGAAAAGCTAATGAAGGAAAATTGTCCTATCAGGCATCAAAACACAGTATCAGCCTATAGCAATAAAATCAGCCTTCTGCCAGGAGAAAAACAGACAGACACATCGATGGCGCAGAGTCGAGTCCCATGAAAGTTACCCAGGCATTTAGCTGTTGTAAATTACATAAACTGGTCGCATTTTTCAACCACTAAATATTTTTTGATCATTTGGCCACCTGAAAACAAATACTTAGACCCCGATTTCACACCACACAAAAAATAAGTTCCAGGTACAGTAAAGACTTAAGAAAATCATAAAAGCATTAGAAGACTATGTAAGAGAATACTTTCTACAATCTTGAGGTGAGGAAGGTCTTTGCAAACATGACGAGAAATATGGAGGTCAGACAGGGGGAGTTTGCAGGTTTGATTATATACAAACAAACCTTATCTGTCAGGAAGCATGAAAGTTAAAAGACAAATTGGGGACAAAAAAAACATTTGAAACATCTGTGACAACATCTGCATCTTCTGTTATGATTTTCAATTGCCTCATAACTAATTGCCACAAACGTGGGGGCTTAAAACAACCCCCATTTATATATTCGCCCACACTTCTATGGTCGACTGGGTTCTCTGCTTGGGGCACCACAGGATTGAACTCACGCGTTGGCTGAGTTCTCATCAGGGGAGCTGGGGGGAAATCTGCTTGCAGGCTCATGTCTTTGGCAGAGCTCAGCTCCTTGTGGCTGTAGGACTGAGGACCCGCTTCCTTGCTGGCTGTCAGCACGGGCCGCTTTCAGCTCCTGGGGGCTACCCACAGCCCCTGCTATATGGCCCCCTCCATCTTCAAGCCAGCAATGGAGAATTTGCCCCTCGTCGCGTCCCATTTGTTGGGTGAATCTCACTTCCTCTTTTGCCACCAGCCGGAGAAAAACACTCTGCTTTTTTTTTTTTTTTGCTTGTTTCTTGCGGGAGTCAAACCGGCAACCTTGCTGTTAAGAGCACACGCTCTATCCACTGAAGCCGTCCCAGTGGCAGCTCAGCTCAAGGTGCCGAGCTCAGTCCCAGCCACGGGTAGGCACAGCCCACCAGTGAACAGGCAACCTTGTCATTAGAAGCACGTGCTCTCATCAGCTGAGCCACCCTGCCACCTGTTGGCAGCTCAGATCGGGCGCAGCTTGGGCACAGCTCACTGGCCCATGTGGGAATTGAACCAGAGAACCTGTTGCTCAGAGCTCGTGCTCTTAAGCAAACTCTTGACCAACTGAGCCACTCGGCCGGCCCCAAAACGCTCTGCTTTTGAAGGGCTCGCCTGGTTAGGTCAGGCCCACCTGATGATTTCCCTCCTGCCATATAACAGAACATAATCACAGGAGTAACACCGGGGGGGGCAAAGGTCATGGGAGCCATTTAAAAATATTGCTCACCCTGTTTTTATTCCATAAAGAGCTCTTAGGTCAAAACAAAACAAAATAAAAAAAACCCCAGCTAGGAGCCAATTAGTAAAAGACCAGATTATTAGAAGAATGGCCGAGGATACGGGAAGGCAATTTGGAGAAGGAAAAGGACAGCTGGCCTTAATTTAACACTGTTGGCCGGCCCAGTGGGCTGTCTCTGTCCTGCGGGCCTGCGCCCCCATGTGGCCGCTTAGGTGGGGACGGGGCTTCAGCGGGGCTCAGCCCGCCCAGGCTAGTTTCCTCCCAGGGGATTTAGGACTCCACCTAAGGTTGCCGACCTCTACATGGTAAGAAATCAACAAAATGAACACGAGGCCTGGGAAGCTGAGCCTCGAGCCCGTGGAGCTGAGCGGCTTGCTGCCATCGGTGGGCGCGGGTTACACGTGTTTTTGTCCCTCCGGTTAGATTGTAAGGTTTTTGAGGGCAAAGCCTGGGTCTTCGTCAGCTCCAAGCAGTTTCCCAGTGTCGCCCTGCGATGGCGATGGCAGGCGGGGTGCTGCTGCCTCCACGGGTGTGCAATGCTGGAATGGGCCCCCCACTTTCTCCCCAGTGGCCGCTCTGCAGGCGGAGATGGAGAAGCTGGCTCTGCATGTCTTCTACATGCAGAACATAGAGGAGGACGTGCAAGGCGACATCCGCGTGATGAAGCAGGTCGTGAAGAAGTCGGAAGTGGAGCGGTCGCGGGCGGAGGTGGAGAAGAAGAAACAGGTACTCGGCCAACTCCATGCACGCGTGACTTCGCTTCCCCTCCGATTCCCCCGAAGGCGCCGAGCTTGGCCTCTTGCGTGAATCCCGCAGCCAGGGGAGGCCCTGACCAGCCCCTCGGGGTCGCCGATGTCGGTTGGTGGTGGGTCCTTGGGGCACCGACATGTGATCTCGTTCCTCAGGACCTGCACGTGGACCAGCTCGCCACCCGAGCCAACCAGCTGGAAGAACAAATCGCCCTGTTTGAGGCTCAGTCTTGTGCCCAGGCCGAGGACACCCGGATTCTCAGGAAAGCCGTGAGCGAGGTAAGAGCAGAAGCGCCCTCTGAGCGGTGTCCGGGCAGTGCCTGTGTATGTGCCTGTGGAATGAAAGACTGAGCCCCAATCGGCCGGCAAGTTCTCTGCACAGCTGGGCGTCTTAGCCAGCATCTCAGAGCACCTGGCTGCTCCGTATGGGGACGGAGTAGGGACCGGCTGGCTGATGGCCAGTGTATTTATTCCTCCCACAGCCAGGGATAGACTGAAAGGCCCCCCAGGAATTCGGACATTCTGTTCAGCTGGCTGGGCAGACCCTCAGTAAGTTCCGTAGCCTCAGTGGGCCTCTTCCGGTGGAAGTCTCTCTAATGATGCTCAGCTGGGGCTCCAGGCAGTGCCCGCAGCCCCCCCTCTGTGTGGAGTGGGGGGTGGGGGGCAGTCACAGTGCATCACCAAGCTCGGTGGTCAGCTCTATAGAGACCACACTCGCTGAGACTTTTTATTTTAATCTGTGAATTACCGGCAGCATTCACGTGTGCAGGGATGACAGGAAGGAAAGAACCTACTTTTATTGAAGGAAAAGGAATAGGGAACCAATGAACACACACCTGGGTCCAATCTAGAAATACACTTGATTAGAGCGTGTTCTGATTAGAATTGCAGAAAAAAAGGCGACCGCTTTTAAGTCAGCCAAGCGATTCTTTTTTTTTTAATATTTTTTTATTGGGGCATTGGGGGATGGGAACAGTGCTGGGGAATTGGGGGAAGGGGAACAGACAAGTTGCTGTCGTTTTGTTCTTCAGTCTAGTTGTGGAGGACGTTGCTTCACTGGCCCAAGTTGGCACCATCATTGCGCTCTTCCCCAGCGAGGGAGATCAGTCGCCGGCTTCTGGACGGCCACTCACTGTGGCTGCTGGCCGCTCACGCTGGCTGCTGGCTACACACACGGTAGCCCATGGCAACCCACTGCAGCAGGGGCTGCAGCCCACGCCGTCGCTGGCAACTCACGGCAGCCCAGCTCCAGGTTGAGCTGTTGTTCAGCATCTTAGCTGTGGAGGGCAGTGTCACTGGCCCTCATATGTGAGATCCAAACCAGGCCCTCTGGCGTCCCAAGCCAGCTCTTAACCAACACGCCACTCCGCCGGCCCCAAGCAATTCTTAAGATTATCTGAAACATAAATTCCAAGGACCAGCCATGACTTGTGTTGGAAGGGGAGGTTCGTGAAGGGTAACCAACAGTCCCAGTTTGCCCCAAATTGAGGGGTTTCCTGAGATGTGGGACTTTCTGTGCTGAAACCAGAGAGCCCTGAACAAACCCAGATGGCGAGTCACCCTAGCATTGCCCTATCAGATAGTAAATCCTAGAAAAGACCAAGAGGCTAAAATAATGTTTACCGACGGTCAGGGAGAGATGGGGAGGCCATGAGAGAGCCCAGAAACAAGCAAATGTTTATATAAAAATGCAGCAGTTTATAAATTATGGAGAACACGTGATTTATGCACCACTGGTGTTGGGACATTTGGTTAATCATTGGGGGGAAAATTAAATCTTTTCCTCATACCAGACATAAAACAAATGCCAGAAGGGGCCAAGGATTTAAATGGGAAAAATATACCAGAAGAAAATAAAAGAAAATATTCATAAAATCCTGGGTGGGAGAGGCCTTTCTAAGCATAACACAGAAAGCAGACACTTTAAAGGAAAAGATAAGGAGGGGGACATAGCTTCTGTGGGTTAAGGATGCCACCAACAAAGCAAAATGACAAGACACAACCTGACCGGAAAAGTCAGGCTTCCAGCTGTGACTAAGTTTGTGGTGGGAAGAGATTTTGAAAATCAGTGAGAGACACCTGCGCACGTTTCCATTACGTGGTCCTGTACAGGTTCCTTTCATTACTTCCTTCAGTGCCTGGCTCCCCTCTGTGCTGGGCATGTCCCCACCAGGGCAGGGCCCCCGACGTGGTGTTCATTTGCCCAGAGCAGTGCGTGGCCCGTGGCAGGCACAACACAGACATTCATGAATGAACCAATGAGCGTCGCTGATAGAAAAGGACGGGGCAGGGAGTTCTTTCCCAAGACTGGAAAAAATGAACGAAAGCCGGGGGTATGGGCCTCCCACGCTGATAGTGGAAATGCACGTCAGAACCTTATCAGGGTCTTCATTCAAGGACAATGTTGCCATTGTATCGGGAAAGAAACCCCCCACCTGCTCCCAAAATACCACTGCTTGGGCTTCATGCCAAGGAAACTACCAGAGATGCACGCAAGTAAAAATTCTGTACATTAAAAAGCCCCACAAAGATAATGAATAGATTGGGGCCACAGTGTTGTGTGTATAGCAAAGAGACGTCCCAAGGAGAGGGCGCTGGTTAAACAGATTATGACCTGTCCGTGCAGTGGGAGACCATCCTGCCAATAACATACAGCTGACCCTGGAACACTTATACGCGGGGTTTTTTCAGTAAATATGGTACAGCTATTTTCCTTATGATGTTCTTAATAACATTTTCCTTTCTCTAGCTTACTTTATGGTAAGAATACAGTATATAAAACATATAACAGAATTCGTGTCAATGGACTGTTTCTGTGATCAGAAAGGTTTCCCTCCTTCAATAGCAGGCTATTTGTAGTTAAGTGTGGGAGGGGTCAGAAGTTACATGCAGACATTCCGACTGCACAGGGGCTCAGCCCGTGTTGTTCAAGGGTCAGCTCTAAGTATTTGCTGACACGGAAACCTCTTTACAATTTGCTAATTTTTAATTTATTTTTGCTAGTTTTTAATACTAAATTACAAAATAATATATAATATCACACACACAAAGACTGCACCAGGGTATTAGAAATAGTAAACTCTAATGGGATTATTGGTAATTCTATTTTCTTTTTGTTTAGCTGTATGTACTAATTTGCATAAACACTTATTTTTAAAAAAAATAGGGTATTTAAAACATTTAAAGACTGAATTCAGCTCAGGCCTCTGTCTCAGCCTGCACCTTGGTCAGCTGCTTGCCCAGCAGCTGTGGGAGCCCCAGGGAAAGGCGCCCACCTCTGGCTGACAGCCTGGGAAGGAGCCCAGCGGGGTTCGGTGCCTGCTGCCTCGGGCGGGCGCCTTTGGGCAGTGCATGCCTGCTCCATGGCACACAGCAGCCTCCTCATCCAATACCTTACCCAATACAGCAACGTCTCACTAATCATGGGTAATTCATTCATACCGTTTTGTGCTATAATAACGGATAGGTGATTTTCTAAAATCCCTCACAATTGAGAGTGGTATTCCTAGGGTGACGTCCTTTTCACGCCTGGCGCAGCCCTTTCATCGTCCCCGTGGGTGCCTGAGCCCACTCTGACTTCCTCCAGCGTTGATCAGGCCTGTCTGGAGTGTTACCAAGAGCAGGTCTGCTGGGGCTACATGAAGATGCTCATGACCTAATGAGGGTCTCACCTGAGCCCCTGCTTGATGTCCCGTCTCACCCCACCCCACCCCACCCGGAATTCACCACAACGCAAGCTGCTAATGGTGCAATGATTCCATCAGGACACTCCAAGTACCACTCAAAACAGCACCTGTGATCGAGCTAAGACTGTGCCAGGCACACAGGCATCGTCTGTTTTGATTGAACATTCCCAGAAAGCGGGTACTGTTACTGTACCCATGTCACAGCTGGGATGTGTCACATGCGAGGTGACCTGCCTGCGTGCTGAGCTCTGAGCGCAGTCAGCTGTACACCAAGATCCAGCTGTTGACCCTTGCACCCCAAGCATAAGTGAACCCTGCTTCTTACCCTCGGGGTAAATTCCTGAGCCCTCTGGCTGATTTCAAGCCACCTGGGCCCAGGCCCTCATCTCAGCCTGTCCCCAGTGCCCCCCTGGAGTTCTGTGACATCCAGCCTCAGCTTGTCCAATCCTCACCTCTGGCACATGTCCACCCACCCCCCTGCCTGTCCAGTTCTGCTTCCTCCCCAGTCTAGGCAGGCTCCGCTTGTCCCAGTCGGACGCTCACATCCAGCCGTCTGTCATTCTCAAGACAAACACCTCCCCTGTCCAGCGTGGGCTCCTTACAGGAGGGGTGTCAGGCTCCGTGGCTGTGCCCATCCTATGTGACCCGAAACTCCAGCCTGTGGGTGGGAGTCATTGTGACCCACCCTCGAGTTGGGGGTCTGGCGTGGGCAGGTGCCCGTCAGTGTCTGCCCACCACCTCGTCCCGGCACCGAGCCCACGGGACCCTGAGTAAAGACAAACGGGTTCAGCGAGTCTTTAGAGCTGTGCCTAATTTCATGTTTGTTCTTTTGCTGGTGCATGAGAAAGAAAAGCAAGAGTGACAGGGAAGCAAGATGGTTTGGGAAGGCCAGGCTCAGATGTTCTTTCTGGGGCTTTGAGCATAATGAAATGAGACCAACGTCGTGTAACCGCGACTCTTCACTGCAGGCCTACATGGAAATAGACACCATCAATGTGGAGAAGACGCATATCCTGCAGCAGTGGGCCGTCAGCCTGGTGGGCATGAAACATCGTGACGAGGCTTACAGGACCATCCAGGAGGCACTCCGGTAGGGCCCCGCCAGGAGGGCCTCTCACTCTCCTTCTGAGGCGCCACGGGGTGGGGGGGGCCTGGGGTTAGGGGGCCAGGCAGCATGAGCTCACAGAGCAGCATGCACTGCAAGATGCATGGGAGCCGGAGGGGGGGTGTGGACTGCTGCACTCCCACCTCCTCCCAGGTGAACAGGCCTCCTGGGACAAAGCGGGCACCTGCAGCCCTAGAGCCCCGCTTCCGCCCTGAAAGCTCCCTTATTGTTTGCCAAGATCTCAGGGTGTCTTAAGTCCTTTCAAACTTTCCGTGGTACCGAGGGCAGCCCGCTTTCATGCTCAGATTTCCTGGGAGGATTAAGGAGAAACAGAGAGTGAGAATGAGAAGAGGTGTTTATCTTTGGGAGATAAGACGTCCCTTTGAGTCACAGCCTCTCCACCTGTGTGTGAAACTCCATCCCGTCAGGATTGTTCTGCCGAGAGCCACGTTCCAACCGAAATCCTGTTTAATCTCCCCAAGAGGAAAAAGGAAGAGGCCCCTTTTTGTGTCCCCCTCTGTCACTTCTAGCAAGGGGGGTCGTGTGGCTTGGGCCGGATGCTGGAGACAGGGAGCCCTCAGGCATGGTGCTGCCCTAATTCCCCAAACCACCCATGGAGACGGGGACCCAGCTGTGATAACCCGCGGCGTGTCGCTCACTTGCTTAACTTGAACTTGGTGCCACTTCTGGCGCCAGCATAGAGCCTGGCAGAGAGCAGGTGCCCAAAAAGACTCGCTAATGAGGGAGTGAGTTGCTCTTACCAGTTCCTGAGCTAGGTTTCCAGTCATCAGTCATACAACCAGAAGATGCTTTTCCTGCTTGGTCCTGTGACCACACACACACACACACACACCACACCTCACACACACCCCCGGCACATGCAGATATGATTGTTTTTGAGACAAGACATCTTTACGTGAATAATGCTAGATTAGAAAGACTCATTTCCTTCACTTCCTGGAGTCAGCAGTACCAGACCAAAGGGAGAGTTGTGGAATTGTCCAGGCAAATTCTGGCTGCAGGTCTACTGGCCCTTTAAAGACGCAGGTAGGGGAACCAGGGTGGGCGGCAGGCTGGGACCTGGGCTTTGCCCTGCCCTGACCTCCCGGGGCTGCTGGCTGAGGTTCTCATGGCCTCCAGTCCCCCACAGGGACCCCAGGGTTCAGGTGCCACCTCCATGACCCTCCCCATTGTCCTATGCTCCCATGCCTCCAGGACTTAACCCGGAGTGTCCCCCCCAAAAAAACCTTCCTCCTCGCCTTGTCCCCCTGGCTAGTCCTACAGAGAGCACCTCATTTGATACGTGTCCCCAGACAAAGGCCCTTGGGGACTGCTCTAATGACACACTGTGTCCTGTCCCCGTTTCCCCCCATCCCATTCAGGGAGGTCCGAATGACCATCCCTCCTCTGGGCTCCCTGGGGCTGGTGGGCACTTCCTTTAATCTGGACCCGGCCACCCATGGAATCTTCACAATGTCAGTGACAAAGTCACATCAAAAGTGGGTCCCAGCCACAGGTGAACAATCTTGATGGAGACTGCAGTCATCAATGACAGTCGTACATTTAAAGGAAATGGGTCCTTTCCATGTGAAACTTCCTGAAACAAGCCAGAACACAGAAAAATCGCGCTGTACTTAACTTGGGAGGGGTGTGCGTACCCTCCCTGGAATTTACACTCCCTCAGGGATAGGGCCCCAGAGGGTCCCCCTGCGCCCCGTTACCTGCCTGTGTCTCACTTCCCGACGGGAAATTCAAGGTGAGCCAGGCTGTTAGTCTAGGAGCCGTGAGATCCTGCAGCGGGTCCCCTCTGCATCCTCAATCGGGACGTAGTCCTGATTCCAGTTCTTTTTGTTTCATTCATTTTCTATCGGTATCTACTCATCAAGGAAGTTTTTTAAACGTGTTTTTTTTTTTTTAATAATTTTTGTCAAGGATAAGTGAACCCATTACAGGAAATTTGAAAAACTGAGAAAAGGATTTAAAAATACCACTGTCGTCCTCCTTTTGTGACAATGACAATGTATCCGCATTTGGGGCACTCACAGGCATCTTTCTCTCCATGCATGTGTCTGACAGAGAGGTCAGACTCCTGTCCCACAGCTTGTAACTGTATCTTTTTGAATTGGGCGTCTTATTTTTATTGTTAAACTTTGGACATTCATAAGGCTGTTACTTCCTAAAAAAGAAAATGAGTAACTTTTTTATTTTAAGTCAGGTTTATGGAGGATAATTTGTGTACAAATTTGTCATGTACGTAAGTGGTCTGTTTTCAGTGCACAGTTCCGTGAGCTGTGAGAAATGGACACGGGCAGGGAACCACCGCACATCAAGATGCCGAAACCCCCTTATCCCCAAGTCAGTACCTTTCCCCACCCCACTCCCAGCAACACTGACGGGCTTTCTGCCCCTGTAGTTTGCCGTTTCCAGAATGTCATAGAAATGGAATCGTACAGCTTTTCTTGTCTGGCTTCATTCACTTAGCATCATGCTTTTGAGATTCACCCCTAGAAAAGAAACATTCATTTGTTTCTTCTTCTTGGTGCGTGGTCCCCAACATACGGATACATCAGAGCCCATTCATTTATCTCTTCGCCAAATGTCGGACATCTTGCTTGTTTCCAGTTTGGGTCCCCTTCCTCCTCCCACAATCATAATCTTAAAAGGGCCTTAGACTTGGGCTTGAAATGGGTAAGAGTGCTAGTGCTCTATTAGGAAATAGTAGTCAACACTATAAAGCGTCGGTTTCCTAGCGTATTTCCCTCCATTTGGTGAGCTTCCTCCGAGGGGGTGCTCTGCCAGACGCCCTGGGTCCTGATGTGTGGGCTTTCCTCTCTCCATCTTGGCAGCGAATGCCAGCATCAGCTCAAGTCTATCGATGGGGAGGTCGAAGCCTATAAGAAATCCATCATGAAGGAGGAAGAAAAGAACGAGAAGCTGGCGCGCATCCTGAACCGGGCGGAGACGGAAGCCAGCCTGATGCAGAAGCTGACCGCACAGTGTCTGGGCAAGGAGGAGGCCCTGCAGAGTGAGTTCAACACGTACAGGCTCTCGCTGCAGGACACGGAGGACGCGCTGGGCAAGACCTACGTGGTACGGCCGTGTCTCCCCACCCGGCAGGGCGTGCCTCCGCGGCCCCCGTGCACGGCACCCGCCCTGTGACTCTGCCTCTCCAGGAATACACGACGACCATGGGCGAATTGCAGACCGTCTACCAGACCATCCAGCAAGAGCTGGACGTGAGGAGGAAGCTGGACGTCTCCATCGTGGAGAAGCTGCAGGAGCACATGACCTCCAACAAGATGACCAAGTACTTCCACCAGCTCATCGTGAAGCGCCAAAAGGAGAAGACCAGCCTGGTACGCCACCTGCTCCCACGCAGCCGAGAGGGAGGGCGCCTGGGGGGCCAGCGGGAACGGGGAAGACGGCTCCTGTGCCCAACAGACCACACGCAGCAGAATCAGCGTGAGTAGGGGGCCTTAGCATGTCTGTCCCCTTTTCATTTTTTCTAGTAGTAAAAGCAATGCATTTTTATTATAGAAAACCTGGATATGCAGAAAGGCATAGCGAAGAAAATAAGGCAGTCGTAATCCCACCACACAGAGATAACCCCTTCTAAAATGTTGGTGTATTTCCTTCTGGAAATGTTTCTAAACACACACACACATACAACCGAATAAATGCACACACGCAAAGACACACAGAAACACACATGCGTACACACACCCCATGCACACACATGAGCAAACACATGCATGCTCATACACGCAAACACACAAACATGCACACACTCGTGCAAACTCACAAACACATGAGCACATACACACACATGCCTTAGACAGCCTCATTACGTGTCAGTTTTTAAGTCCATTCTAATCCATTTTTCATTAATTTTACTGAAATATGACACAGAAAAGCACACAAACGATAAGTACAGGAGTCAAATTTTTCACTACACGTATGGTGTTTATTTTACTTTATTGACCATACTCAACATAACGTTTTCCTTAAATATTCTTTGAAAACCTACATTTTTCTTTCTGTACCGCATTTCATCATACGAATGTATGTTTTGCTAACAGTTCTCTACTTAGACACCTCAGGCTGCTGCTAGGCTCAAAATATTAGAAACAACTCAGCCCTGCACGTGCCCGTAAATCCTTGTCCACACGTCTGAGGAGGGCTTGCTGGAGAGAAACCCTGGGTCCAGGGCAGGAGCATTTTAAATGGTCCTTTGCTCTCCCAGGGGTCTTTCTTCACTCTGCGCTGTGGCCTGGGGTCCCTGTGTCCTTGGAAAAGCAATTCATGACTTAAATTGCTTCCCCTTTGCCTCTTCCCCCACTGGTGTGACCCCCGCTGGGGTCCCCTCCCTTGGCGGCCCCCTTGAACCCCACAGAGGCCACCGCAGCCTGCACCAGGCAGGGAACACCCCTCTAGGTCTCAGGAGGAGAGGCAGGTCCCATCCAATCTCTGGATTCATGTAGCAGCCACATGAACGTATCTCCTGGCTTTTCAGCCCCACCAGGGCGCTCCACCCGTGTGACTCCAGCCCAGGCCCTTCTGAGGAGTGGGAGGTGAGGGGGCGCCTTGGGCGGAGGTGCCCCAGTGGTTAAGGGCCCTGCTCCTGTGTGATCCTCGGCCTCTGCCTTCACTCTCTCCCCGGGTACGAGACGCCTCATAGGTGTCGGAGGATTACATCTAAGCGTTTGTTAAAATTTGAGCAAAATGTCTGGGGAGGGCCAGAGGCAGCGCTCCCTAAATGTCAACCGTCATCATTGTTGTTATGGTGGGTACTGGTCAGGAGGAGGCCCAGCTGAGCTAAAGTGACCTGCCACCCAGCTGGTGAGGCTAACCTGTCCTCCCAGGAGGGCAGGGCCTCTATCTACCTGGTAGCCGCCTGTGGACGCCTCACCCCTCCCAGACACCGGGGAGGGCAGCTGGTTGTGCCAAGGAAGTGGGGGACCAGGGCTGGAACCAAGACTGCACCGAAGTGGATCTGGGGACGCCCTGGCTGACACTGGGGGAGTCCCGCTGGTGTGTTCTCTGGGAAGTGGGAGTGAGACCACCGTCCGGGAGCAAAAGGAGGGGTCCTGGGATGTACTGGAGAAGCTAAGGCGTGTGGTGGGCGGGAAGTAACCTGTGAAGATGAGTCCCCAGGCCGCCAAGACCCCAGCCCTACCCACGCAGGTCACACATGTACTACCGTCAGTGTCCAGTCGAGGGCAGTAAAGAGCCCTGGACCAATGTTGGTCTATTCCAATTGCACAAGCGGAGCTCTGGACAGGGGACGCTTTCCCCATCTGCTCAGAACCCTGGGGGCTGGGACAGGTGGGTGGGGCATATCTGGGATGAGGAGCAGAGATTGTGGACGGACGGAACCACCTGGAGCTGGGGCCAGAGGAAAGGCGGACACGGGTCAATGGTGGGGTCTAGACAGTTAATTCAGGAGCGGCACTGACGTCCTGGGAGGAGGCCAGGGTGGTGTTAGCAAGGAGAACAAACAGCCCAGGAGCAGGGGGGCGGTGGGGGTGTTCTGGCTGGTGACCGAAAGGGGACTTAGGAACTGAAGCCCCTACAGGGTGGCGAGCACTGGGGTGGAGGAAGGCAGGGCCCCCATGAAGGCCCCGGAGTGGCCTGGTGATCTCAGACGATCTTGGCAAGAAAGGGGTGGGTGGCGTAGTCAGAGCTCAGAGGGCCGGGGAGCCCAAGCATGCTCTGCTCTGGGAGGCAGGGTCTGACTTTAAAACCTAGGAATGCTGGGTGTCCTGGAAAGTCACCCATGGTGGCCGCTCAGAGTCAGAGCCAGCCAGGGTCATGCGGGAGGAGCCGAGATGACCCTGGAGGGCTGGGAGTTGGTGAGAGCCACTGCGGTGAGAGAGCCCATGTGGGCAGTGATGGATGCAGGGCTGGCTGGTAGGGTCAGGGCAGAGCCATGGCCCCAGGGAAAAACCTGTCCCCATTGTGCCTGAGGGGCTGCGACTGCCGCCACTGCCCTGCCTGACAAATACCCTTGTGATAAACCCTGTGTTGCAGGAAGGGGTCCGAGTGCATCTGTTATCTGAGAGCTGACAGATGAGGTGGGGCAGGTTGGTGGGACCCTGAGGACAGTGGGCCGGCCCTGTGTGCCCTCAGCCGAAGCCCCGCCCCAGAACCCAGGGTTGGCGAAAGCACCGGGTCACATACCTCCGGCTGGGTGGTGGACAACACCCCACAGTAGGGTTCTTGCATTGCAGGACTGTGTCCAGCTTTTCAGTAAAATGTAAGCACATTTGTCCGACAAACCCAAGCTAGAAGTCGTTCAGTGTGTGTTACAGGGTTATTTAGACTGGGCCTGTTGATAACATTTCAGACAGAGAGGGCAGGCATCTTGGTTTTCTTCTCTCGTTGCTGCTCTGATTGCGATGATCAGTTAATAGTTGTCGAACGGATGGAGGAATGCCTGCGGAGAGCAGTGACTCGCTTCCTAGACTACCTTACAAACAGGATGGGGCAAGACACAGCCAAAAATGCTACGACGTGAGAATATCAGACACGACTTATCGAGTTAAAAAGCGGCTTACAAACCCATGTGTAGAGTGTGATCCTGTGTTTGTCTTTGGGGGGCATGTGGGGTTACATATAAAGACTGGGAGGAAGCGCAGATTCCGGGTAGTGGTGGTGGCTAACTAACTGTATGACGGTTACGGGGCATTAAAATGCTCTCCTCTTTCCTCATCTGCATTTTCACATTTCCCCACAATGTATATTACTGTTGGTTTAATAAGAAGGAACCATAATGTTATCTTTCTTTTTTTGTGAGAAATCGCATAAGGATTCCAACAAGTGGGTCCTTTGACAGGTCCTTGAGATGGAAGAAAACCAGCTTCCGGCTCCCCCGATTATGTGGCGGAATTTCTCCTGACAGATGTCCAAATCGCCCAGGACATGGTGGGCGGGCCAGCCGGCCCATTTGGAGCCTCCCAGAAAAAAGAAAACGTTCAGGCATGCTTCCTTTTGCTAATGCAGGTGACGCATCTCTCCAAAATCAACGGGGACATCGCTCAGACCACCCTGGACATCACGAACACCGCCTGCAGGCTGGACATGCATCAGAAGACGCTGGCCGAGCTGGACAAGGAAGTGCAAAAGGTCAACGACCTCATCACCAGCAGCGAAAATGAGATCTCCAGGCGCACGGTCCTGATTGAGAGAAAGCAAGGCCTCATCAACTTCTTCAATAAGCAGCTGGAGCAGATGCTTTCTGAGCTGGGGGTGAGGCCCCGGGCCTGGGGGCGCCACCTCTGGCTGGTATTGGCACCTGGCTGTTTCAGGAACTTCTTAGGGTTAGAAATGAACCCACGTGGGACTCAGTCCCGCCTGCCCCACCCACGTGGAAGAGCAGGATGCCCTACGTCAGCGTCCAGAAAGTTGAAGGCCTGAGAGAAAATACTTCAGGTGGTTCAGGCCAGGTGGTCCCTGCCGCGACCACTTGCCCCTGCATTGTGGGGACAGAGGAGCCACTGGATAGACGGATGGGTGTGGCCGTGTCCAATAGTTCCTTACCTATGGCCACTGAGATCTGAAATCTATATTACTTTCACCTGGCATGAAATCATCATCTTTTTTTAATTTTCTTGGGATGGCTCACGGGCCATACAAAGACAGACAGTGGGCAGGACTGGACCCGCTGATCACTGCTGACCACAGCTCTAAGTGAAGTGGTCTGGTGAGTGTGAGGCTTGGAGTCCTATAGGTTATCTAGGTGCCCCCTCACCTGAGGACCCCATGGACTTCAGGCCCCGGAGTAGGATGCGGTGAGCTCTTAGGTGGGTCCCACGCACCCAAGGGCCTCTCTAAGCCACACCCAATGGAATCTAAGGGATTAAAGTCCCTGACTTGTGACAGTCTGCTGTTAAAAAACAACTCCCAAAGCCCCTTTGGGTCAAGGAGGTCCCGCAGACCCTGCCCCTGCTACAGGGGCAGGGTCACAGTGGAGGCAGGGGGACTGCAGACGCCCTGAGACCCATATCTCCCACAGTGGGTCAGGGCATGTGGCCTGGGCCCTCAGGAGGGCACTCCAGGACAGGGCCATGGCCCCTTGAGAAAGTACCCCTCAACCATGGTGCAGATACGCAGAACCTTGGGGGCCCCGGCCCTCTGCAGCCCACCCAGAAAGCAGGCCTTTGACAACAGGGCCCATTTTGCTTCTTGGCGAATTTCCCTTTCAGGGGGAAGAGTTGGGGCCCCTGGAGCTTGAAATCAAGAGGCTGAGCAAGCAGATAGACGAGCACAGCACCAGCGCGACGAAGGCCCAGGTGAGCTGGCTCCGCCTGCAGCAGGAGATGGTGCAGGCCACGCGGCAGCGTGAAGAGCAGCTGGCCTCCACGCACATGTTCAAGAAGGAGGTGCACATCCTGGAGCAGAAGAAGCTGCGGATAGAGAGTAAGTGCCCGGGGGGAGGGGTCCGCGGGGCGGGGTCTGCCCGGTGGGCGCCGCTGGTTTTCACGAAGCCTTCAACGCGGACCACGGCAACGTTCACAGCACAGGTCGTGAATATCCACGGTTGCCCTGACCGGCCGCCCAGGTCGCACTCCCAACGGGAGTGTTGACAAAATGTACTGAGTTTGGGAAGCTCACGGACTTCGGGGCACTGCCACAGAGCGGGACATGGAGAAGCACCCCCAAACCCAAGGGAGGGAGGCTCAGCTGAAACCTCTGATACTCAGCGAGATGTGGGTCCTCGGGCCCCAAACTCAGGGCTTCAGGAAGAGATTTTTTTCTTCCTCTTCAGCTGAACTTAGAAAACTGTCCTGCCTGGTCTCTGACCCAAGATCCACACAGGTCAGCCTGGCCACGTGGCCCCTCAGGAGATGCTGCCTGCTGGTCTGGACCCACTCCCCTTGGACACATCACACCCCATTTCTTTCCTGCGGTCCTGCCCTTGGTGCATCCAAACCCGCCTGTTAGAGACTGGGGTCACTGTTTTCCGCTCCTGCGCTGAGCTTGGCAGGAGCGGCATGGGGGGGCAGGGCCTGCTCTCCTGGAGGCTCAGTGTCCGAGCAAACCACATGCCTGCCCTGCAAGGAGCCTGCGTGTCCTGCGGGAGGGGAGCTTGTCCTCCAACAGCGTGCTTCTCCCACATGCTGGCTGTCCAGGCCCTGGTCCTTTCAGTTCCTCCAAGAGCCAGGCTTTGGAAACCAAGCACCGCGAAGGGACCCCTTCCTTCTCCCCTGGCCCAGGAGGGACGTGATTTGGGTGGGGGTTCCCAGAGGACAGCTGGGGTAGTGGGGGAGCTTTGAGGCGAGCCGGAGCCCGCTCCCTACTCTGGGAATTGACCCTCCGGGGCTGCTCCCTCATCCCTGCTCTCTGCCACAGAGAAGGTCGATCAGGAGAGGAAGGAGCGGACGGACATTGAGCGTCACATGAAGGACCTGGACAAGGACCTGAAGAAGCTCAACGTGCTGCTGAGCAAGAACCGCAGCAGCTCCGAGGACCTGCAGCAGGACAACCTGGTGACCGAGAATGAGTTCGTGCGCTCGCTCAAGGTCAGTGCCCCTGTCCCCGCGGGCACGGGCTGATGGAGGACATTGGCATGGGCACCGTGTCCCCCAGCGTCCCCCGCACAGCCGTCCGCGCCCCTCGCCCCACACAGGCCTCCGAGAGGGAGACCATCGAGATGCAGGAGAAGCTGGAACAGCTGACCGAGGAGAAGGCATCCGTCCTCAACAGCCTGGTGGAGGCGGAGTGAGTGTCCGTGTCGCGTGCACTGACCGCGGCCGTCCTGCGGCTGCCTCCGCACAGCCCCCGGGGTCCATGTCACTCCTCCCCAGCCAGCGGACCCCAGACACAGCTGGACGGCACCACTGGCTCTGGTCTCCCGCCCTCGCGGCAGCCCCCTTGCCAGACCAGTTATCGCTGGAAATAGAGCAGCTTTCTTTGGAATAGGCTTTTAAAAAATTATACTATTTTTATGGTGTCCGATTATAAAGGCAAGCCATGCCCAGCTGTAAACATCTTAAACTATAACAACACATGTGAAGTAGGAAGGGAAAACCACAGATAGTTCCAACTCTCTTCCGTTGCCAGAAAACCACTGAGTGTCTTTCTTGTTTTTTTTTATTTTAAACAAAAATGGGGTTGTTGTTTGCGTTCCCCTTTGGAGCCGTCCTACGCATCTCTGTGGCTATCATTCACGTCGCTACGCGTGGATGTACATTTCCAGTAGGGACGGCTGCCACATGGGTGCCGTGTGGGGGCACCCGAGCTGGTGGGCAGCTCTCTGGAGGGGCTGAGTACCGACGGCATCACCCCTCCTTGTAGTGTGACAGAACCAGCCGGGGCCGATGCTTCTGGAGGGGGTCTTAGTTCTTTGGGGGCTGCTGTTACACAGCCCCACAAACCAGGTGCTCACAGACAGCAGGATTTTACCGCTCACAGTTCTGGGGGCTGGAAGTCCGAGATGAGGGGGCCGGCACGGTCCGCTGAGGGCCCTCTGCTGGGTCGCAGGCATCTCCCTGCGTCCTCACTTGGGGGAAAGGGCAAGGGAGCTGTGTGGGGTCCCTTTTACGAGGGCACTAATCCCACTGTGAGGGCCCCGCACTTGTGACCTAATCACCCCAAAGTCTCCGCGTCCTGATGCCATCGTATTGGGGGTTAGGACTCCAACATGTCAGCTGGGGGGTGGGACACATAGGTCACAGCCAGGGCCGTATGCCTTTGCTCACATTTTAATAGCTTTTAGGCCATCGGTCTATCCAGGCTTTTTACTTCTTCTCATGGCAACTTCTGTCCTTCGTGTTGACTCTTCGCAGCTTCTCCTGAAGTTACGTGTCCCGTTGTCCCAATCTCTCTCTGTCTCTATTTATGCCACAGGTTTGTCTGCTTCAAGGGCTGGAAAATTTTCCTGTAAAGAGCCGGATAGTAAATATTTTCGGCTTTTCAAGCCTCAGGGCTTCTGTGGAAGCCACAGCTCATACGCAGCCATAAACAATACATCAACAAATGGGGGTGGCTTGTGCCAATAAAACTTTATGGATGGACACGGGAGTTTGCATTTTACATTCTTTTTTCCTGTGCCCCAGTCTTTGAAATCTGCTGTGCATTTTATACTCATGTTACGTCTCAGTTCGGACTCACCCAAGTTCAAGTGCTCCATAGCCACCTGTGGCTGTGGCCACCATGTTCAGGCTGGAGAGGCAGACACTGGCAGCTGGTCTGGGCTGACGGTGCCCGTGGGCCCAGATCCCTCCTGCCACGCTTGGCTCCCTCAGTCCCTAGCAAACCAGATGCCTCTCCCTGCCCAAGAGGCCAGTAGGTGGGCCTTCCCTGATTGGGGTGCCTATCAAGTCCAGGCTGTGGGCCCCATCCCACACTGAGCGCTGTGGACGGGAGAGGTCCCCGGTGGGCCCCCCTTCAGGAGCAGGCTGCCTGTCGTCCCTGAGCTCTGTATTTGGGGACCATGGCCTCTAAGGCACAGAGGGGAGATGGAGGAGGAAGGGAGGGATGGCTGGATGGTAAATTCATCCTCCACCTCCATAAAAACCACTACGGCCCCGTCCTTAGGGCATGAGCTCAGTGAAGATTCGGAAAGAAATCTCTTACACAAGCCTCTCCTACTTTTAAAGACACCAGATCATGCTTTGGGAGAAAAAAATCCAACTGGCCAAAGAGATGCGCGCCTCAGTGGATTCCGACCCCGGCCAGACGGAGATCCAAGCCATGAAGACCGAGATCCACAGGATGAAGGTAGGTGGGAGGTAAGGGGGGGGAGGGCAAAGGGGGAGGGCCTGGGGATGGGGAGGAAGCCGCCTCAGCACAGCAGTCGGCACCCCACACTCAAGCGAAACACACTGTCCCCCTTTCCAACCTTAGGTCAGGGTCTGTTCACTTTCGTTCCTCCTGCACTGAGATTATCACACAGCAATACGGACGCACAGCCCCATGATATTTTAAAATGCTGGCTCCCAAATGTGACAACGCGCTAGTTAGATGTGCCCCACTGTTGGACCAAAGAGAGTCCCCCTCGGTGAAAGCGTCCAAAGAGCACACCCACCTCTTCCCTGGGGGAGCCTTCACGTGACTCCTCCCACTCTCGTCTTTAGCTGGATTTCATGACCTTAAAACGGCTGGTGATTTCATCACGAGCTGTCACCAAGCCAAAGGTTCAAGGCTTTAAGGATACAAATAAGAGCAGGCAATAAAAATAAATGTGACATCACTTTCACAGAGCTGCTTTTGATAATAATCCCTCTGGCTGTTGAGTTCAGAGGAATTCTGATCAACTGCACATGCATTTGAAGCTTTAAAAAAAACCAAAACACCCTCATTTGATTGACTTTTCAAACCACAGAAGCCACGGATGTCGCTGCAGCAGGTCAGTGCCCAGCACAGAGGTCCCACACGCACGGACAGGGGCTGCCGCCCCCCTCCCACTAGTTCTGTTTGTTCCTTAACAAAAGTAGGATCTGTATCTATAGCTCAGCCGCTTATTTTTAAAAAACAATGTGGCACTAACCCATTCTTTAACAGTTAATAGAATATACTACAGACATATAATTTATTGAAACAGGTTGATGAAAACTCAGACTGTTTCCAGGTTGTTGTTGTCTTGTCACTGTACATAATGTTATAATAATATCCTTACAGCAGCCCCCCCTTATCTGCAGGGATATATTCTAAGAACCCCAGTGGATGCCTGAAACCGCGGATAGTAACGAACTCTGTACATACTATGCTTTTTCCTATACATGCATACCTTTTCACGTAAAGGAATCACTTTACAGATTCTCCTTGGCATATCTGAATTGCCACCCTCACTACTCCTGCACTTTGGGGCCATTAAGTAAACTAAGGGTGACTTGAACACAAGCGCTGAGACCCCTCAACTGTGGACCTAGTCACTGAGACGGCTACTAAGTGAGGAGCGGGTGGGGGTGTCTGCAGCGTGGAGACTCAGGACAAAGGGATGAGTCACGAATGGGGCAGGACAGAGCAAGACGGTGAACAATTTAAAACTTGTGAATTATTTATTTCTGGAGTTTTCCGTTTAATGTTTTCGGACCATGGTTGACTGTGGGTAACTGAAACCTCAGAAAGCGACACCTACTACTGCACTTACTGGTTTTCATTTGTTTTCTATAGGCTAGATCCCCCAAAGTAGGATTATTGGGTCAAAGAGTTTTTGACCACACAGATTACTTTTCTGAAAAGTACTTAAGGGACCGGCTGAGTGGCACGGTGGTTAAGAACTGGCTTGGGATGCCAGAGGGCCAGTGACACTGCCCTCTACAGCTAAGATGCTGAACAACAGCTCTACCTGGAGCTGGGCTGCCGTGGGTTGCCGGTGACAGTGTAGGCTGCAGTCCCTGCTGCAGTGGGTTGCCATAAGCTACCGTGTGTAGCTGGCAGCCAGCGTGAGCGGCCAGCAGCCGCCGTGAGCAGCTGTCCAGAGGCCAGCGACTGATGTGCCTCGCCCAGGAAGAGCGCAATGATGGTGCCAACATGGGCCAGTGAAGCGACGTCCTCCACAACTAGACTGAAGAACAAAACAACAGCAACTTGTCTGTTCCCCTTCCCCGAATTCTCCAGTGCTGTTCCCCTCCCCCCAATCCCCAATAAAATCCTTAAAAAAAAAAAAGTACTTGAGAATGGCCGTGTCCCTACAGCCTCGGCAGTTGTGGGTGTGTTCAGTCTGCCAGTAATTTTAATTGAGGCATTGGATTGAGCAAAAGCTCACCCTTTGTAGCATACAGCGCTGAGTTTTGACGAAGGCATACAATCATGTAACCTATTTCCACCGTCCTCAAATCCCCTAGTGCCCCCTGTACTTGACCCTCCCCCTGCCCAGTCCCTGACAACCACAGATCCATCCGTTCCCGCAGTTTGGGCTTTTCCAGAACGTCACGTAAATCCATCATGCAGCAAGAAGCATTTGCGCCTGGCTTTTCTCACTTACCCTAGTGCATCCGTCTGTCCTTTAATGGATCAGTCTGCTCGTGCGTCTAAGAAGTCTTTGCTTAGCCCAAGGTCACAGAGATTTTCTCTTACGTTTTCTTCTGGAAGCTTCCTGCGTTTAGGCTTTCCATTAAGATCTAGGATCTATTTGAAGTTGATTTTTGTATATGGTGCAAGCTGTGGCTCGAGGTTGATTTTTTGCATTTACACGTCCCATTGTTTCAGACCATTTGTGGAAAAGATTGTCCCTTCTCCGCAGAGTGACTTCTCACCCTCGTCGAAATACATGCATATTTTCTGGGTTCTCTGCTGTTTTCCACGGATCTGCGAGCCTGTCCTTTCACAAATTCTGCACAGTATGGATTTCTGTACCTCTATACTGACATATTCTTCCAACTTTGTTCCTTCCACCTTTTCAAAACTGTTTTGTCTAGTCTATATTTATGGCCTTCCCATACAAATTTGAGGATCGGCTCGTTGGTTTCTACCAGAATTCCTGCTGGGATCGTGACTGGGATTGCATAGAATCCACAGGGCAGTTTAGAGGGAACCGACATCGTGACAGTGTTGAGTTTTCCAGCGCATGGGCATCTGGTCTTGTGCATATTTTATTAGATTTATACCTAAGTATTTCACATTTTCTGGTGTTATTGTAAAGGATATTTTTTAAATTTTTCAATATTCAAGTGCTCATTGTTACTATACAGAAATACTGTTGACTTTTGTACATTGACTGTTTCTGCAATTTTGCCTCTCTCATTTATCAGTCTTTATAATATTTGGTAATCCGCTGTGCGAAGAGGGGTTCTTGATGTTGTGTGGATTTGTGCTGCTGGCTCACCGGGAGGCATTGGGCATAGACCTTTTCCCGTGTGTGTGTGAGTGTACGTGTGTGTGTGTGTGTGTGTGTGTGTGTGCATGAGGGTGCGTGAGTGTGTGAGTGTGCCCGTGTGTGTGTGCATGTGTGAGTGTGCATGAGTGTGTGTGGGTGCCTCTGTGTGTGAGTGTGTGTTGTGTGGCTGTTAGCATTTTGTCAGTTTCTTATCAGGCTATTTCCTATTTCTTTTTTTTTTTTTTAACTGAGCCATCCTGTCACCTGTTGGCAGCTCAGTGGCAACTCAGGTCGCAAATCGAACCGGCGACCCTGTTGCCTAGAGCTCACACTCTTGAGTGAGCTCTTAACCAACTGAGCCACTCGGCCGGCCCTCTATTTCCTATTTCTTAACAATTTTCAGGAGCTCTTTGGATATTGGGGTACTAAACCCCATCTTTAATACCTGTTCCAATTATCCCGTTTTTTTGGCTTTCTTGCTCTGTGTTTCTTTCCCCACTCAGAATATTCTTCAGGTTTCTGTTGGATAACATATCGGTCTTTTTCTGTATGGCTTCTGGGTTTCCTATATGGCTTAAGAAGGTCCCCCCCGGCCTGAAGTTACACAAATATATTCCTAAGTTGTTTTCAATGGTTTGCACATAGTTAGATCTTGAGTCCATCTGGAATGTATTTTTGGTGATGGTGTGAAGTGGGCGGTCCACCTGCATTTTCTCTCAGCTGGGGAGTGAGTATTGCCAGCAGCCTGTATTAGATCATCGGTGCTTTTGTCACTGAATCGGGGGCCATGTGGACCACAGCAGCCCCCAGCGTGAGTTGGCCCCACCCTCCCTACTCTGCTGTGACAGCCACTTGGACAAGGCTTTGCTGGTGCAGAGCATGTGGTTATCATCACTCTGTGGTCCCTTTTATTTATTTATTTTTTATTTACTTATTTAAAGATTTTATTGGGGATTTGTGGGAGGGGAACAGACAAGTTGCTGTCCCTTTGTTCTTCAGTCTAGTTGCGGAGGATGTCACTTCACTGGCCCATGTTGGCATTATCATTGCACTTTTCCTGGGTGAGGTAGTCAGTTGCTGGCCATTGGACAGCCGCTCATGGCAGCTCTTGGTCGCTCATGCCGGCTGCCAGCCACTCGCAATAGCTTATGGCAGCCCACTGCAGCCCCGCTGCAGCCTACGCTGTCGCTGGCGACTCACGGCAGCCCAGCTCCAGGTCGAGCTGTTGTTCAGCATCTTAGCTGTAGAGGGTTCAGCGTCACTGGCCCTCATGTGGGATCCAAACCGCGGCCCAGCTGCTCAGAGCTGGTGTGTCAAACCAACTCCTAACCAACGCGCCACGCGGCCGGCTCCTCTGTGGTCCCTTCTAAACCAGGTGTGATGGGTCTTCCTCCACCACCATTCTTAATTTGGGAATTCTTGCCCATTTACCCTGTTTTAAAATTCTAAATCAACTACTCAGGCATAACTGACATACAGTAACATCCTTATTTTAAACGCCCAGTTCACTGAGTTTTGACGTACCCACACATATGCAGCCATCACCACAACCGAGACGCAGAACACTTCTGCCACCCCGGAAAGGCCCCTCGCGCCCCCAGTCAACCTGTCAGTATAACCCGCCCCAGCTCAGGCCCACAGACCCTTCACAGTATCCACCATCCCCCAAAGCCGCGGTGTGTGTCCCAGCTGAGAAACTAACCTTGGGCCAATGCGATTAACTGAACTACGAGCTCTAGCCAGATTTCACCCTTTTGGGGCTGAGGTCCCTTTTGTGCTCCAGGAGCCACTCCTGGGCCACCTGTGGTCCTCCTGTCTCCCGACCTCCCCGGGCCTCTGACCGTTTCTCAGCGTTGCCCTCTTCGCCTGCTCCTTGTCTGTGTGGACCTTAAGCTCATTCTGACGCATTGACGATGGCTGCAGAGCCTTTGTCCTCTGGCTGTGTCACTCTCGTGGGTTCCCTGCTGGTTCTGTGGGGTGGAGTGGGAGGTGGGCTGGCCTCCCACCCGGGCCCTTCGCTGTGCACACAGGTCAAGCACGGGCAGCTGCTGAAGCAGCAGGAGAAGCTGATCCGAGACATGGAGCTGGCCGTCGCCCGCAGGGAGACCATCTCGACCCGGGTCGAGGGCCAGAGCAAGATGGACAAGAAGCTGCTCACCCGGACAGACTTCCACCACAAGCAGACAGAGCTTCGGCGAAAGATCAGCGACCTCCACAAGGTAGGGGAGCCATGTGACAAGGACGTGACAAGGACCGCATGTCCACAGGCCGGTGCCTGCCTGTCCCCCTCGCACGTGGTCGGCTCACTAGCAGGCGTCACTGGCCAGGGCTGTCCTGATATACCCGCCCCCACCTGGGCTGTGATTTCGCTCTATCCTTCCAGCTGGCTTCTCAGTGGGCCCTCCCCGGCCCGTGCACATCACCACCGCCTCTTCTTCTGCCTCATTCCCGGAGCTGCAGTCAGAGCTGCTGTGTCCGGCTGTTTTACGAGACAGAGAAGTGACAGTGGGGGGCTGAGGAGGGGACGGAAGGAGCCGGCTTTGGAACCAGCCTTCTCCTGCACTGGGGACAAAAGCCACTGCATCCTCTGAGCCTGAGCCCCATGACCCAGAGTGCCCTCGAGGTCAGTGGCTGCTTCCCCAGGATCCTACTCTCTGCCACGATAGGGCGTTTCTTGGGTTTAACAGGCTGGAGGGTGCGCTTTGGGCTGGAGGCGGCTGTCTGTCAGCCCCTTTCTGCTTGTGGGAAATGCCATGAGACAGGCAAGGAGAGTTGGGGAAGGGCGTGAGCCTGCACGGCACTGACGCCGAGTGGGGACGTGGAGGACAGCCACTTGAGTCCAGGTTACATCGACCAAGCATGTGGTGTGTGCCCTGCCCTGGGAGGGGACCAGCCGGTGCCACCCCAGTGCCCACTCCCTGAGCAATCGCCAGGCCGGGCTCTGGGCTCAGACTCCCCTCGGCCCCCGTGGACCGGCTGTGTGGCCTTGGGTGTGTGTGGAACCTTCCCGAGCCTGCATTCCCTCGTCTGCCAGGCAGAAATATGAGCAGTAACTGTGCTCCCCTGTCCCCGGCTAGGCCAAGGGTTACGTGACAGAAGCTGGCCTCAGGGCCCCGCGTGGGGTTCCAGCCAGCTCTCCCACTCATGGCGGAGGCGTGTTGTCTGACCTCTCTGTGTCTCGGCTTACTGACCCGTGCAGTGGGTCCTCGCCTCGTGGAGTCATCCGGGGGGTGGAATGGAGGGTGCTGGACTAGCCCCAGTAGGGTTAGGTCAGCCACAAGTGACAGCCGTGAGCCAGCTGCTAGTTTGGAAGTTACCGGAGGTGGCAGAATGGCCTCTTCTGGGTCCTTGTCGGCTGATCGTCTCTGCCACATTGGCCACTCCTGATGTCTGCTCCTCTCCACCCCTCCCAGCTCCCCGGTGCTCCTCGCAGCACCTCACCACAGAGGGTCTCACCAGGACCCCTCTCTGCCTCCCTCCTGCACCTCTGTGCTGCTCCCAGCAATGGGACGGTTGTACCCAAGTCCTCCTGCCACACACACTGCCACACACCACACCCAATGTGACCTCCACTTTTGTGCACTAACCGGCCCTTTCTGTCACCCCTGCCAGCCCTACCATACATTGTCCCCTGCCCTCAGCCACACCCTGAGGGTCACTTTTGTCTCCTGTTTCAATCGTCCACCACAGCCACCAGCTGCCAAATGCTACCAGGCTTTTCTTCCTCTTCATTGCCTGTTTCCCCTGAATTTGTCCGGTCCCCCAACCTCACGGTGATGCAGCCCGGCCTTGTCCCTCCTGCTCCGGGCGGCAGATGCCACCGGAAGCTCTGGTCCCGCTGTGACTCTGCAGTGGGCCCCCCACCGCTGCCAGTCACCCCCACTCCCACCCCCTCTATCTCACGCTCCCCAGCCCACATCTGCCCCCCACGCGGCCCGGCCCCGACCCCAGCCCTGGCGTCTTCCCTGCCCTTGGCATGCAGCTGCCGAGCTGCCCCTGGTCCCTGGCCTGTGCAGACAGAGCCACTGCAGGAGGACCCCCAGGGCTCTCAGCACCCCTCCTTTGTCTAAGCCTCGCCTGCCTTCAGAGAGCAGTCTGCAGTGGGTTTAGCTGGGCCCTGGTGTGTCACTGGGACTCATGCCCCCCCCCCCCATCCCCGGTCACAGCTCCCAGGGACAGGGACTGGCTTCGCCCGCTCTGGGAATCCCTGGATGGTGTGCACAGGCAGGGTTTTCTGGCCGAGTCCTCTCTGTCCGCTGGATAAGCAGGAGACAGGGTCCCGGGTTGACCCTGTCCATCCCCTAGGCCACGGAGGACAGCAGCAACACCATCTTGGAACTGGAAGAAACTCAAAAACACATGAGTGAGTCCCTCCTGGAGAAGCAGGCACAGCTGTCAGCCATGCAGTCCCACACCGAGGCGCTCGAGGCCGACGTGGACCAGCTGGTGGTCCTCAAGCGACAGGTAGACAAGGCCCACTAGGGCCACAAGGACCCCTGCCCTCCCGGAGCTCACATTCCAGGGGCAGAGGGACAGGTGAACAAAAGAAAAGATATCATGTGTCAGGTGGGGACAAATGCTCTGGAGGAGAATAAGCCAAGAAGTGAGGGGGGGAGGGGGGGGCGAGAAGGGCTAGCGCGCAGCCGTCCGAGGGTGCACATAGAATCCTCTGGGTCATAACTGTCCCCGGGGATTTCCTGGTAGCCTGGATGTGGTGTGAGCAGAAGAAAGGGATCAAACAGGACTGCAGGGTTTGGGCCTGATCTGCCGAGATGGGAAGATGATGAAGGGACGTGTCCGGGCCTGACACACGGCCCGTGTCAGCTGCCTCTTAGATGATGGATGCAGGAGAAAGCCCCGCCCCGGCCTGGTCCCCTGCATGTGGACTCAGAGCCTCAGGCGTTTCTTCCCTACACCCTTCTCCTCTTTGCCATTCCTCGTCTGAGTTTGCGTGGGGGCCCGGTGGGTGTCCTCTTTTGAATCTGCACAGCCTGACACAGGGTCTCTTATCCCACCCAAGAAACTCGCTGAGCTGGTGGCCCTGCAGACGCGCCTGAAGCACCTGCAGGCTGTGAAGGACGGCAGGTACGTGTTTCTGTTCCGCTCCAAGCAGTCGCTGCTGGCAGAGCGCAGGCGCCTGGATGACCGGCTGGCCGCCATCAGCACCATCCTGGACCATGTGAAGGATGAGTACCCCCAGTTCCAGGAGGCCCTGCTCAAGGTCAGAGAGACGATCGCCAACAAGCTGGAGTCGCCCAGGCCCTACTAGAGAACGCCCGGACCGCGACTGCCCAGGCTGGCCGCTGTGGAAGAGACCAGGGTTCTGAGTGTTACCAGGGACTTAGGATCTTGTGTCCCTGAAAGCCACGTCCACCCTCACAGAATGGCACTGCTTAGGAGAAATAGACAGGTCAGCACTGTAGGAATTTTTTAAAGCCATGCAGCTGTTTAAACCAAGTCAAATCCTAGAGTTTCCAGTTGCATCTAAGCAGGTCTTACATTTGCAAATCCGTGCTCTCATGGTGGCTGGGTTGGTGGAGGCTCCTGTTTCTGCACGTGAGAGCGCTCTGGAGGGAGCTGGGCTTCCTCCTGACGGTGTCTGGTATCATTTCAGTCTTGTGGGTGAGTAAAGAAAAAGGGACCCACAGAAAGCAGGGGTACGATGGCCCTCAGGCCTCAGCACCTCGGTGCGTCTGAAAACCCACAGCCCACCTTCCCCCCGCAGCTTTCCCTGTTCCCACCCCGGGAAACCCGAGTCCCTTCTCCTGCCCCCACTGCCAGCCTGGGCTGAATCCAGCTTCCCAGCTCAAACGTGCAGGAGAACAACCCACAGGCTGTGCTTACAGAGACCGAACAACTGAAGTAAGACCGAGCCCGTGGGTAAATTCTGAGACCACGTCCCCTGTCTGCCCACTTGTCCCACCTTCACTGTCACCAGAGTGTCCCCTCACCCCCGATTCCTGTGGCACCTGTTACTGTGTGGCTTCTCTGCAGGGTAAAGGGACAATGTTCAACAAAACAATTTCACTTGCAAACTTTTCAGCAGGAAAATAAAACTTTGTTTTTTCTCAATATGGGAGAAAGGCGTTTATTCTAAAACATTTCAGAAACACAAAAACTATAAAGCAGGGAAGCCGTCGGCTCCCCACCCAGAGGTCCTCCCAGGCGCGCGTTCCACTTGGCAGCGTCACACTGTGTTCAGCTTTTGTGTTTCGCTTCGAAAACCTTGCTCATCTAAACACACGCATTTCCCCGTTGTATGAAAAATTCCTTGTAAATGTCATCTAACATTTTCACAATAGTCGATGTTATGCGTTATGACAATGTTTTCCTCTAAGGAATAAGTTAATAAGTTTAAGTTACTTAACTCAAGTTGCTTCCAAACGTTTGCTATCTCGGCCTGTGCCCGCCTTGCAGGCTAGATGGGCGGAGGGGGGGAGAGGGGGGCGAGGGTACCCCTGGGGCGGCCTGGCAAGCTACCAGGAAGCCCGACAGCCGCGGGGGCCTGCTCACCGGTGGGTGTCGCCCCTCCCCGACCCCAAAAGGCAAAGCCGCGGCATCGGAGCGCCTTTGCCCCGAGCGAACGTCCCAGGAAAGGTGCGCGCTCCTCGGACCCCGCCCCACATCCCAGGGTCCCGGAGGCCGGGAGCGCGAGGACGCTCCGCGCG